GCAAAAGATACAAACTCTCTTTAAAGTGTGGCATTTGATGAAGTCTTAAAAGTTTTGATATTGTTATAATTGCATCTGGAATTACACAAAGAAGTGAAATTAAAAACAAGAACTTTTCTCAAATTGCTTGAGATTCAAACACCATTATTTAAACACGTTTTCATCAACAATGCAGGACTCTGAAGTCAAGCTTTAGCAAGAGAAAGGAGGAAGCACAGTGTTGCCATGGAAATTTAGAACGCCTGTCTTAGAACCTCATTCACATTTGTTATTGAAAGATTGCATTAAGGACAGTCCAGGATGCGTAGAAAAGCAAAGGAACTGCCAAATCCCACATTTTGTTTGAGTGTTTGTGGTAGCAGAGAGGTCAGAGTTGACACACATCATATGACTAATTTGATAGTCCCCTCTGTCTTTTGCTGCTTTGCAGGAGAGCTCTGTTAATAAAGTGTCTGTTAAAGTGTCTAGCTTTCATTTTTGCATCGTGGGAGCATTTAACAATGCTTTTTAGAAAATTAAGGAAACAGGAACTCAAAGTTGAGTTGAATTTGACATGCGACTGTGAATTTAGTTTCTGTAGCAGTCACAATTCTGAGAAGGTGGATGGACAAATTGATAAGGCTGTTAGAAAAGTATTAATTTTTCCTTAATTGACAGGGACAGAATAGAAAAGAAGGAAGTTATGTTAAACTTTTTTTTATAAATCACTGATTAGGATTCTAAACATCACTCATTAGAAAAGCTGGTCAAGGCCTTGGACAGATTGCAAAAAATTTCACTAGGAAGGTGCTGGAGGCAAGGGATCTCCGTTAAATGTAGCAACTGCAGAAGCTAAAAGTGTTCTCCTTGAAGCAGAGAAGGTCAAGGGGGAATTTAATAGAATCATATAATACTGTGGGGAAAAAGAAAGACATTTTGTTACATCTCTCACACTCGTCAGGACAATTTGTTAGAATACCAAAGCAAAAGGAAAACAACATTCATGCTGTACAGCATGCTGACTGATTGGTAAGTGAACTCTGACTGGTGGAGGCAATTCCACAGAAGATACACCAGTTAGATCACTGACAATTACTGCCAATCTTTAAACTTTTTAACCAGGTTTGTTGACTGATATGGCAATGCCTTGACTGGAGAAATGAATAGCTGTCACCTATTTTGTTGCATTGATACAGATGCAGTGTTCTTTCTGTCTGCAAAGAGCTCTATATTAATATAGGGCATGTCTCTACCAATCAACACTCTCCCTTCATACAGTATTGCTGCTTACCCTTACACTGGTATTCTTGCCAATAGTCCTCAATGCAAGACGAAGAGCTTCAATAAACGTCTCTTTCAATAATACTCGTGGTCTACACTAACAACGGATTCTGCAATAATATAGGACTAAAAGGAGACCATTCAGCTCACTGAATTTGAAGCAGCCTAGTTAACCCAATTCCTCAAATTCTCTGTGCATTCTGGCAATTTTTATACAAATCCCTTTGAAGGCTACCCACTGAACTTCTATCCAGCACTTGATCTGGCTTTGCATTCCTAATTCAAGCTACTTGTTGTGTGAAAAGATTTATCCTTGTCAGCTCTGATTCTTTTCCTAATCACCTTCAATCTGCAAGTTTTTTTTTTAAAAAAACCTTGAATTCTATCAAAGGATGGATGTCAATTGTTGCTTGTCCTAATTTATCTTGAACTGAGAGGCTTGCTCAGCCATTTCAGAGAGCATCAGTTAACAGTCAATACTGTAGGTCTGGAGATAACAGTGTGGAGCCAGAGGAACACAGTGTCCCAACCCAAAACATCAACTTTCCTGCTCCTGTGTTCCTCCAGCATCTGCAGTTCTTACTATCTCTGGAGGTCTGGAGTCACTTTCAGGCAAAGATGGCAGATTTCCTTCCCTAAAACGCATGAGTAAACCAGATCTGGCTTACCAATCCAGTGACAAAACCATGACACCTCCATCTGCTCCTCTTTTGATCAATCCTTCAGCTAAAGAAAATAGCCTCACCTATTTAAAAGCATCCCCAGCTTTCATGCTTTAAGTGCTTTTTTAGATTGCCTCTTGTCCTTTTGAGCTGAAAAGGACTTCAAAATATTTGGAAGTCTTGAGGGGCAAAAGGGACAGACTATTTTCACTGGCAGGAGTGTCTATACTAAAGGACACAGACAACTGGTAAAAGAATCGGGAAGATCAGATTACATTTCACGTGGAAGAATAAAAGAAAAAAAATGGTCTAGCCCCTGAACCTGCTCCATCATTCAAAAGGTAATGACTGGCCTGATTGTTGTCAGATATTCAGTGCCCCCGGCTCCACCGTCCTCTGGGGAACACCATTCCACAAACAAAGTGACCCTCTGACAGAAGGTATTTCTCCCAGCTCAAGTCTTAAATGGGAAATCCTTTAGTTTGAAACTTTGCTCAGGGGAAAAAACACATTCACGGTATCTCCCCCAATCAAGCCCCCTCAGAATGTTGTCTATTTTTTTAAATAAGATCAACTCATTTTTATCCCCCCCAAACCACGGGGTGAGACTCCAGAGGGGCACAATATGAAAAATTGCGGTCATAGTCCAAGACGATAATGACAGAACAAAGGCCAACTCCAACAGATATACAAACCCTGCCCTGGCAAGATTCCATTTGATTAATCGAGAGATCTGCTGGACCTGATGCCATTCTGGTGCCTCGAGTTTGAGCCAGCGACAATCACAAGTCGGCCCCAGGGAGGGAAGTGGCGAGCTGGGTGCGGGGACAAGGCTTCCATTACAGGTGCCTCTATTTTATGCTGAATTTTAACCATCCATTCTCTGGGAATGCACTATCTAATTTATCAGGTACTAATATCCACAAAAAAGCATGTGCTCTGAGCTACAGTCTTATGACAAATATATCCCATGCCATGGATCAATTTGAGTAGAAATGGCACGTCACTGGATGTAGCCAACCACATGACCGGATTTTCCATCTCTGAAGTCACATTGACTCAAAGGCACCCAAAACAGGGTCGCAGAGGGAAAATGTTTGGAAAGCACCGATCTGAATTTGAAAGAATTATTACAGCACAGGAGGCCGCCATTCGGCCCATTTGCACCTGCACCAGTTCTACTACCAATCTCCTGCTTTTTCCTCATAGCCCTGCACACCATTACTATCCAAATAATCAGCCAACGCCCCTCTTGGATGCCTCAATTGAACCTATCCCTCCCACAATTCCAAGCAGCACAATCTTGACCCTAACTCCTTGCTGAGAGTGTTTTATTTCCACCCACACATCAACTTGGTACAAAAGTTGCAACGTGGGATGTGCAGCCTGCAATGGTGATGGATGCAGATTCCATTTACAACTTTCAACAGGGAACATTTGCAAAAGAATTAAAAATTGCACGATTGCAAGGTGAGTGGGACAAATTCGATAGCTCCTTCAAACAGTCAGCATGGATGTGATAGTCTGAATGGTCTCGTCTCTGTCCCCTCCGATTCTAAACACAACTTTCGAACAAAGTGCACTACTAGCTGGAAGACACATTGACACATTGACACAATACTGCTCATGGGGACTGGCTGTGTCTACCTCAGTGTGCAAATATTACTTCTGAACCCACAGCTAACTATTCTGCCCTTCAAATTAATCCGATGGGCACAAGAGAAGCATCAATTGGCATAATTGAAGAATCATTCAGGATGTCTAAAGTCTGAAAGTTCCCAGACACTCGTTCCACGTTGTTTCTACAAAGAACTTGTTTACCCTTCAGTTTATAAGTCCAGAATCTTGCCGTTCTGAGAGGACAGAGTATACAAGTACATTAGAGCAGAGGACTAAGATTCCACGTGCTTTCAATGGGATACACTACAATGCCAGCCCAGCTGGTGCTGTGGGACACTAGTCATTTTAACTCTTCGACTTGCGACTGGTGACTGCAATTCTCCCTGATCAGTGGCCAGCTTCTCTTCACCCCAGCAGGAATGGAACTGTCTGAAAGTGCGTGGAATGGAGAGAAGAACCCAGGAGCAGGATCTAGTCAGTTTCCATCAATGTTGAGTCTGGATCACTGGAAGGGAGGGGAAAAAATGGTGGAGGGTTGGGGATTTTTGCTTTTGCTTTATTCTCAACGAAAACATTGGGTTGTCAAAACAGTCACAGAATCTTGTATCTGGGACAAACACAAAAGGCCGGAGAAACTCAGCAAGTCTGGCAGCATCTGTGCAGAGAAACAGAGTTAATGTTTCAAGTCCAGTAACTACTCATCAGAAAATGGTTTGGGGATCTCCTCCAGGGGGCAGTGCTGCCGGAGTACTGCTCCAAATAAAAATCAGAAGGAAAAACAAGAATGGAAAACAGCTGGAAAAAGCTCAACAGGTCTGGCAGCATCTGTAGAGAGAAATCAGAGTTAACGTCTCGGGTCATGTGACCCTTCCTCAGAACTGGAAGGAAGTTTATCCTCTTCGAAGTATGAAGCCTAAACTGCTCAAAATTTGCGCCCCTGATCATGCCCGATTCCAACCACCATCTAGTGGTCTAGTCTGGTCTCCACAGCTTTCACCTGCCAGCTGAAGAGTGGCATTGCTGGAGGAACCAATACAGGGTTCCTTACTCCCTCTCACCATTTCAAAATCACTTACTTGTCAGTTTGATGATCTCCAGGCTCAACTTTGTCAGCACTGGATCTTACCAAGCTCTGGTTAACCACTGTATCGATTCCTGACTGGGCACCAAAATTGCTCCCATCAGTAGTTGGCCCCGAACCCTCAGTATGTCGAAGACAAACCCTGTAATCCTGAATCCGTCCACCACTTCCACCTGTGAGCTCAGCCCCACTCAACACTCTGTGCTACGCCTGCCCACTTGCACCCATCACTCTGATAAAAGCCTATAACTAAGCCTTCCCCCACCTCCCACTTCCCCCAAGCACCAAATGTTATGCTGAGGTCACTTCAGTGTCCCGTTACACATTCTATTCAAGTTACAAAATGAAAGACCCAGCACAGAGCTGGTGTTGCTTACTGCCTGAAGGCCGCCATTGTGTTTTCCAGATTCTCTCCTGCACCTGTTGAAAGGGAAAATGGAGACACTTCAACATTCAGAGCTCAGCATTAGCTTTCATTGAAGATGACAGTTTGGTCACTGATGGTGTACAGCTCATCAAAACAACCCTACCAGGTCACTTCCAGCGAAACAAGCCTCCAACCTTCAAAACTGGAACACAAGAAAGTTTTAATTTAAACCAATGCATGCTCATCCCGAGTCAGGTTTGATCTGCACATCAGCTTGCCTCCAACACACCAGTACAGCACCGAGGAAGTGCTGCACTGTTAGAGATGCTGCCTTTAGAACGAGATGTAAAGCAGAGGCTGACTGGCCTCTCGGGTGATCTTAAAAGAGCCCATGGCCCTGCTGGGCACAAAAGCAGGAAAATCCTGGCCAAAATTTGTACCTCCACCAATACCACAAGCAGCAAGTGATCTGATTGTTTTTGCATTGGAGTCTGGGGGAGCATGCTGTGGGCAAATTGGCATCTGCGCTTTTTAAAAATATGGAAATATTATGAGAAGATTTCAGTGGCTGTGACACATTTTAGAACATCATCTTGTTTGGGGTTTATCTATAGAGTACAGCCAGTCAAGGTTAAATGATGCAGTTTGTATTGTTGGATTTCTTGGCAGGTTCTTTGTTTCTTTCCTGGGTGTGGTTGCTGCCTGGACAAGTTTTGTTGGACAAGGAGAAAAGGAGAGAGAGAGTCTGGGAGGGAGCAAGGATGTGCCTGTGTTCAGCTCCTGCAGAAAATGAAACTGAACGGTAACTGTCCTAACTAAGGAAACCCAACTGGAACATCAAAAATGAGCCAGCTACTCATGGCATACATAGGATAATCCCAGACCAGGACAGACAGTTGTTTTTTAATATATCTATCAACTTTTTCAGAGATGTTATAATACATCGCTGGAACAGGTGGGACTTGAGTACAGATCTCCTAGCTCAAAGGTTGGGACATTACTGCGCCACAACAATCTTCTGGGTCTGCTTTGAAGATATTTTCAAATCCACCTGCTTAGAGGTGGTGTCAAACACCGCTGGTGTAAGCGGGACTTGAACCCAGGCCTTCTGGATGAGAAGTACGGACACTACCACCGTACCTCAAGAGCCTTTAGGTCTGCTTTATAGACTTTTTTTTAAAAACCTGGTCAGAGAAATGTTATTATACATCACTGGAGCAAGTGGGACATGAACTGGAGGCTCCTGGCTCAGAAGTTGGCGCATTACCTCTGCGCCACAAAAGCCTGTGTTTGCCTTATTGAGGGCTCAGGTGATGAGTTCCATCTGGACAGGCTATTGCCTGTTACCAAGGGAATCTCATACTTAAAATCTCAATAACAATGGAATTTTGATTTTAAAAATTTTCATGGAATGTGGCAGCATTTAATATCCAATCCTAATTTCCCCAGAGGATGTGCTCATCAGCTGCGTTCTCAAGCCACTGCAGTCCTTGAGGTGTAGGTAGACCCACAGTGCCGTTGTGAAGGGAATTGCAGGATTTTGACCCAACGACGCTGAGGACAGGTGATATAGTTTGAAGTCAGGATAATGATGGCGAAGTGGTGGGTGGTGGTGTTTGAAAAAGAAATATCTTGGGGATGAAACATACTGTCAACCAAAGTGACTGAAAAGGTTACAACTGGCTCGAAACAGCATTCACTGCTGGAAATATGACACCTTGGTATATAATTCCAATGCTTGGTCCTTGAAGAGAGACCATTTAGCCACACAAATATGCACAATCACAGTGTTCAAACCACAAAACAAACGGTTACATGACCACTGGCTGCATAGGGGACAATTAACTTACCGAGGTAATGGCAAACAACGATAAAAGTTGCAATTAATCCCATGAAGCTGGGAAGACATGCAAAAAATCAACTTAAGAACAAGGCAGCAACTGGGGTATTTCAAAAACACTCACCAGGCCAGTGCAGACCAGAGTCTGCAAACATTTTGCTCTGGGAATCCTTAGCATTGGTTCTTTTTGAAACTATTCCCTACTTTTTTTTTTAAAAATCAGAAAAGCCGTCACTTTTCTAGCAAACTCCCCAAGCAGAGTCATATTAGACTTGAAACAGTTGCTGCCAGACATCCTCAGTTTCTCCAGCACGTTTCACATTTATTTTCAAGATCCAACTTTTGCAGTATTTGTTTGAGTGTTTACATCAGAGTTAATTATTGGAGTTTAAACTTCACCAGCTATGGTGGTGGAATTTTTACTCCTTTTTCTAGAATTCCACAGTCTGGGCTTCTGGTATACTCATCTAGTAACATCAGCCCTCTGCTACTGAGCACTGTACAGTGATACAAAGAAAACAAAACCAAATAGCAGCAGGATGCTTTCTCTCTGAATTCATTTGCAGATAATTGCAGCCATTAACAAAACTGCAGACGTGTGAGCCTTTAATATGACATGGAAATTTATTGATGTGTTTCCTGGATAAAACATTGCTGCCAGCACATCAACAAAAATACTATGAGGGCATTTTCAAATCTCAGACTTGACAGTGAAGTGTCTGTGTGCGTTTCCTCCGGTTTCCTCCCACAGTCCAAAGATGTGCAGGCTAGGTGGATTGGCCATGCTAAATTGCCCGTAGTGTTCAGGGATCTGTAGATTAGGTGGGTTGTAGGGGGATGGCTCTGGGTGGGATGCTCCAAGGGTTGGTGTGGACTTGTTGGGCTGAAGGGCCTGTTTCCACACTGTAGGGATTCTATGATTCTATGATTCTAACTCATATTTGCATTTTCCCCGGTCATCACCTCCAGCTTTCTTTTACTGGTTTCTCTTGATACATTTTACTGCTTTAAATTTAGAGGGTTGTTAACAGATTAAAGACCCTTGCAGGTCTAGGTGCTTTAATTGAAATTTATTTTTAAAAACTTTTAAGAGGAGGAGCATTCTCCAGTCTCCTGGTCAATATTTTGCCCTTAATTGGCATCATGGAAACAGATTATCTAGTTGTGTGTAAACTGGCTGAGTTTCTCATGTTACAACAGTGACTACACTTGAAAAATGTACTTCACTGGTTGTCAAGAGCTTTGGGAGGTCCTCAAAGATTCAATGTAAAATCCAAGTTCCATTGTTTCTCCCTAGAGCTCCCACTGCTGCTCCTGAGCGGCGATAATTAATACTTCAATTGAACTTGGGAAAGTTCGCAGTTTGTACAATTCAAGGGTTTGATGTGTTACATCTCAGTGTCGTTTTGCTAGAAGACATCCCCTGACCACATTCTACTGATCTGTCTCAAGACTGAGGATTTCAGCATTGTGGTCAACTTTGATACATCCTCATGATCAGAAGCCACAGATACTACTGACCAGACATACACCTAACTGCACGTACACACACACACATCCTCATTCTACCATGGGGGTCACACGGTACCCACCCACTGCACTTGCACAAACACACCCTTGCACACACATCTATGTACCCACACACAGTTGTGAAACAGCACAGATGAGAAAATAGTGTTCTATTCCTGTCTCTCTGCACACTTCCCATAATCAGAAACTGAAACAAGTCTGTTAGCTGAACCCAGAGATTAGTCCAACAGTTACCCTTGAGAATAACTAGGGGGAAAAGCAAAATAAACAGGACTTTTACTCCCAATCACATAACAATGTTATATGCATAGGATCTCCAATGAGGAATGCATTTGCAAGGCAGCCAACTGCCCTATTATCATCCAAATCTTTCTTGATTACACCTGGGATTAGCCATTCCCATAAAGGTTTGCATCTTTCTTTTCAAATCACTCCACCCCTTCTCTTTATAATTATATCCAGCCCCACAAACCACAGAGAGATCTCTGCACTCCTGACTCTGGCCACTTGTACAGCCCCCTTGCTCCACCTATACTGGCCATATTTTAGCTGCTTAGACTCCAATCTAAAAAAAAAACTTGCCATCTCTCTCGCTACTCCTTTAGGAGTTCTCTCTTTGATCAAGTTATTCACTATTTGTCTGGATTTCACTTTATATGGCTTGGTGTCAAACGTTGCTTTATTTGCTCCAATGAAATGCACTGGCCTTTTGACTGCGTTGAAGGCACTACATAGATGTAGACTGTTGATGCTCCTTCCTCACACACCTGAACTATATGGTCAGCCTCACAAGTGAAGAATGCTCAGGCAACAGGCTCTTTTGACTGTACACAAACACCTTTAGCAGTCTGGAGAGTAGACTTGATTTAAATTTTTAAAATATTGATTAATACTGCTCTGGTTGGGTTTGAAATATTAAATAATTTTATTCCCAGAGATGGAGTCCAGCCAAGCCTTACCGATCTGTATTGAGTGGAGGGATTGGATCCCGTGGTAGACCTGGAACTACAGACTGATTCTAGTGATCAGAACATACCTTTTTGAACTACAGTAGTCCATATGTTGTAGGCAGACCCACAGTGCTGTTAGAATGGGAGCTCCAGGATTTTTACCCAGTGACACTTAAAGGAATGATCATATAGCTGATGTAGAACTTGGAGGGGAAACCAGAGGTGGTGGCATTCCCATATGCCTGCTTCTCTTCCTTCTGGACTGCAGAGATTGTGGGTTTGGAAATACATGACAAGTCTAAGGGTCCTGTCCACAATACAACCTTTTCAATTCTGCTGTTGCACAGTAGCAACATACACTGTCTCGATTGTGTTTGCAGTCCTATTATCAGTACATGCTCTCTTCTGAGGACTGGGGAGTGGGATCACAGGATCATATTTATTCGCCCTTTATTTCCCTCCAAAAACTTCAGAATGGAGATGGATAGAACTTAGGTTAGAGGAACGAGATACAGATCAGTTGTGAATGAGGGACTGGTTAGAGGGGATCAAATGGTCACTGTTCCCATTTATGAAGCTGCACACAGCTTGACAATTAATGAGCTGGGTGCCCTTTCTGCAGCAGAGGGAATACCACAGGAATAATTGCCTGGAGCTGAGGAAAATCTTTGCTGATCTACTCTCCTGTGCCTTTTCTTTAATTTTCCCCAAGGTTTTCCAATAAGGCTGAATC